CAAAAGGTATGAATCAGTGACAGTTCAAACAAGCTTCCACACAAATCAAATATATGCACAGGTGAAGACGCACATATGATGTCAACACAAACACACTCACTGTGACTGGCATGAAGCCTGCTGGTTTTTCTAACACAATCATTTTCTTACCAGAGCTCTACAGCTAAAATATTTTTTAGGTGAAAGAAATACATAAATGAAGAAGAAAGCCAAAATATTAAATTCCATGGATGAATATTGCACACAATAGAGTAATGCACTATTTTGTAGAGGTGAGTCAAAATGATTAATTTCACCTTTGGAGCCAAATAACTGACTTTAGAAATGTGGCAGCATCATTGTTATTTTTACACAGAGATTGGTAGGTCTATTAGTAGAATCTGTTGACTTTAGCAATCCTTGTTGCATTGCCAATAGGTGATAGTTCAGAAATGGGGGGAGAAGTACTTTTCATATTTTTTCCCAGAAATGTGCATGCCTGTAACAAGAACCATTAAAGATATCTCAATACCATTCAATGTGGTTCCATGAAATTGTAAATATATTCAGTGTTTAAATATGCATGTTCAATGCATATTTGTTCAAAATAAATAAATAAAAGAAAATAAATTGTTCACATTGATTAAGTTCATACTGTTTGCATTTATAATTGTTCAAGCTGAAACACACACTCATGCTTCTTATTAAAGATGAGAACATTAAAATCTATTCATTCTTAGAAAAACTAAACGTTTCTCAGATCATAATCCAAAATCTAATGTTAGATCAAAATCTAATTAAAACTAATACCTTAAGAACCTAAGTGAACAAATAACATATCAATTTTCTTATTTAATAAATAAAGATATCTAGGCACAAAAATAATTAGGCGAGAGAGATGTAAGTACTGTACTATGCAGAATGCTTTCTTATAATATTACTTTACAGGAGATCATCTGAAATATAATTAGGACTATTAGTTTTATTTCTCATTTCTCATTAAGTCTTAGTTATCACTTCTCCCTGCCTTGAGGACAACTTAAATAAAAAGTGGCACATCATATCCTACTCTCTTCAAACCTTCAGATAAATCTGCCCAATTAAAGCTCTCATTAGAGAGTCAGCTGACTGAACACAGACAGGCTTGACTTCAACCAGTCTGGCTCAATATGAATTTCTTAAAATTTGACGAACTTTATGACCTGAGTTTCTTATCTGCTCAAATATGCTGCCACTTAAAAATGTGCAGTAAAAATCAAATATTGCAAAGATTCATTAAGGGGAAAAAAACTAACAAAAAATTGTTACAATAAACATTCATCATCATCATGAACAATATTTAGGAATCAGGGGGGAAAAATAAACATTTTTGCACATATTGGCTAAACTGAATATTTATTTATTTATTTTTAACAAAACAAAATAATTAAATCTCCTTATTTTTGTTTGGTCTATTTTGTTTGATGAAATCAAAGGTTTATGCTCTATCCACTGCTGAAGAGAATAATAATAAAAAATAAAATAAAAATCATTTTAACATGCACTGATGAAACATTCACAATAAAACCTAGAAAATGTCTTAATGAAGTAATTGGGTCAATTTTGATGTTATGTTATTTTTAAAGCAGAATGGGCCCTTGACCAGTGCAGAAAACACAAAATGCACCAGTAACAAAAAAAGCAACCAAGATCTCATCTGAATCTTAAACACAACAGCACTTCACCCAGAGAAACTCCAGCGTATTCAGCTCTTACAGAAACAATCTCTCTCAAACAGAAAAAATAGGGCTGAGGAGATCTGAGGCTCAGAGAAATCGATTAGTGAAGGTGAGCCCTTGCACCGCTGGACGCCTCATTGTCACGCTGGCGGCCCACGGATGACTGACAGGAATGATGGGTGTAAAGCGAGGAAAGTGTCATCCTTTAAAAAACCTCTCCCTGAAAGCATTCATCATACAGAACGAGGAAGAGGAAAAGACACAGAACCATCACGAGATGAGACATCTCACGTTATGAGAAAAGATAGAAAGAATCTAACACAATAACACATAACACACACAGTGCCATTAAAGAGGGGGAGACCTGATTTAGCCCTCTAAGAGATCAATAACCAGTACACACACACATCGATCAGCATGTAGTCGTTTATATTTCATCCTCCAGAATAAATCACCCCGCAGCTTCAGGAACTCTGTAATCTGTTCATCAATTCTTTCTGATTCAGGTATCGGCCAAAGCAGCACGGTTCCCAATCGAGTCATTAATCAGGTGATCCATGGAGGTGATCGGGAGAAGGGAATGTCACCCGCAGGGCATCAGAACAGCTCGTACACGAAGAAAATGCAGCTCTGCATGTCAACACAAACCTATAAACAGGGCTGGATTTATGCATAGGCATTCTAGGCACGTGCCTATGCTCGCTCGTCCAGGGGAGGCCCAAACACAACGAAGAGAGATGATATTTTTTTTAAGTTATGGGCTATCTACAAACAGTAAATAACCAAAACCCCATGAAGACAAATATAACAACCAATAGGGTAAAAATGACACACTATTTCCATGTTTTCCACCTTTTTATGTACGGAAATCACACTGTCTTTCTCCCATTCTCTCTCACAGACGCACACACAGTACAGACACGCACTCGCGCACACACGCGAAGATGTGAACAGAAACTTGTTGTCAGCGCTGCCCCGTGAATTGATCAATAAAATAGTTTCGCAGCTGAAAAGCCACATGACATTTCTTAGTAGCAAGGTTTTTGAAGCAGTTCAACTTAAAGATTCGCTATTAGTAGACGCTGCTGCTGAACACTACTGAGAGACACACAGACACAGGTATTCACACGCACTTAATCTCTCTCTCTCTCTCTAATAACTGCATTAGCCTGCATATCAATGGCTCAAACCTCTGTTATTAGCTCTAAAATTACGTTTTGGAATTTGCAACGGAAGGTTTAGGATGAGGTACGTAAGAAATTACTTCCAAGACATCTGTCATGTTTTCGTCCTGAAATCTTGTGTGTTGAAGTAAATCATCTGAACAATGTCTTGAGGTGGTTGTGACTCCAGGCCGTTAAAATTATTAGAGAAATAATGCATTTCCGAAGTGGTAACATGGTCACAGAGCCTATTAATGGAACGGTTCTTCGTTCTCAAACAAATTAAGACATTCAATTTTTATTGACTGAACATGAGCGCTTATTGCGATAGAAAACACGGTTTCCACTGATTACGAAATATTTTTGTTTGCTGGGGTGGTAACATTATATATTAATAGTGGGAGCCCAAAAATTAGTTTCGCCTATGTCACGATAAGAGGTCAATCCGGCCCTGCCTATAAAGCACTTTATGATGGCTACATTTCCAGCACGATGGGATTTTTATGCTTTTAGTGGACAGGACAGTGCAGAGAGAAAGGAAAGTGTGCATGTGCGCTACAGCAGTGGCACTGGATTCAAAATAAACAAGGAATTGAGAAAATTTACCATAAAAAATATTGGAAAACACGAGAAAATGCATTTAACATTTAAAAAAACACTACCCTTTAAAAGTTTGCGGTTTGTAAGTTTTTTTTTTTTAATGTTTTGAAAGAAGCATCTCAGCATCATTACTCCAGTCTTCAGTGTCACATGATCATACAGAAATCATTCTAATGAGCTGATTATATGAGATTCCAGATTTTCAAATAGTTGTATTGTCCTATCATAACAAACCATGCATCAATGGAAAGCTTATTTATTCAACTTTCAGATGATGTATAAAACTAAATTTAGAAAAAATTACTGGTTTTGTGATCCAGGGTCACATATATTAATTAAAAATATATATTTTTAATATTATTAAATTCATATGTATTCTGAGTTCATGATAAATGTATGAGTTTTATTTAAAAATGTTGAGTTTACAGAATTATAAAATCCACTAAAGTTGCACATTCTGATAACATTTTTTTTAGTGTATGTATTAAGCCTCTCTCTCTCTCTCTCTCTCTCTTAATAGCTTAAACAAATTGTATCTCACATTTGCTTGGCTAGTGTTCATTTTGGAACCTGGTGCACAACAAACTCTTTTATTTTTTTTCCAACAAACATAAAGCAACGTATTATATCTAAAGGGATATTCTGATAACATTTAAAAAACAAATCACCCAAAACATGAAATTTTAATCAATTTTAATTTATATCTTGCTCTCCTTTGTAGCTCTCAAATCTAATTTAGCATATTCAAAGACGTGTCGCAACAGATTTAATGTCAATGACACCAAATCCCATTTGAGTGTCTCCACCAATCACAAGATGGCGAGTTTGAATATGCAAATGTGATTTGAGAGCTGCAGCGTTGAAAAAGGTTTTCAGACAACATTTCCTATCGTATTTCACAAAAGAAACCACATCATATGGGTTCAAAAAGACACGCTTAATGATGACTGAATGTTGATGTTTGGGTGAATTATCCCTTTAATGATTGACATGATGATATTTTCTCTTCATAAGTTACCTGGTTCTAAGTTATCGGCATCCAAAAAGAGGAAATAAGTAAAAACATTACATGAATCAAGATTTAATCATGATTTTTCTTGTCTTTAATACCCAAGTCAGACAGGGAATAAAACAGTCGCATTTGCGTTTTATCCTTCATTCCTTCAAACGAAAGCATCTCATGTGGTGAATCCTGTCTCCTTAAGTTTGCATTTCTCTGCAATCTTCAAAAAAAGCAGCTAAAGGCAATTTCAGAGAGATGCATCAAAAACCTGCTGTGACGTATATGGAGACACTGTAAGCGTGTGACTGTCTCTCCAAAGCTCTATGAAAGTCAGAAAGTGTGACCAGCTGCAGCTCTGGTTCATGAGAGTAACTTTCATGAAATGGAGAGAGGGACAGGTAATGCCGTCTGACAGTCTACAGACTTCAATCAGCCAGACAGACAGCGATACATCTCCCCGATGAAGGAGGATTCTGTGTGAGTGAGTGAGTGAGTGTGTGTGTGTGTGTGCGTGCGTGCGTGCGTGCGTGCATGTACCTCTGACACTCGCTGGCGTGCAGCACCAGGTCCTGGTTGTTCTTGGCAGACAGCGTGAGCTCATGTTCGGTCGAGTTGAACACATCGAGAAGTAGATGACATTGACGAGTACTGCAGAAAAATAGAGAAAGACAAACCGAGGAAGTATTAATGAAGTACAGAACTCACACCTGGCGGATCACTTAGGTTGCTTTCACACTGGGCTCATTTGCTGTGGTTCGAAACCGAGTGCAATTGTTCCCGGCACCCCCCGCAGCATTGGTCTGGTTTTACACTCTGTTGATTCTATCGAACCCCGGTGCATTTGTGGTCATCTTACATCATCACAAACGTGCACAAAGTATGATAGAAGCGTGGGTCAATATATTGTGTTTTTTTATTAATTTGGCGCTATTATGCGCAGAGTAAACGACTTATGGTTTTACTGTATGTGCGTTGCATGTAGACGGATATTTTGAGGAGACAGCGGATTACCATTCATTTGCCGCACTGACTGCAGTTGCTACACGCGAATACACTGCAGGCTCACTCTCACTCAAATCCAAGGTAAATCAGCAACACTATCATCACTTATATGTGTTTTGCTGAAGAAAATACATTGTGATCGGTTAACACGCATGCGCAGAATCTCAAAATCTCAATTATTCTGTCCCCACTCAAAGCAAAAATCAAGTAAAACTTGTAAATATGCACAGTTGTAGCCAATCAGGGCAAAAAAGATTTTTAGATATATAAAAAGTAGAGATCATGATGTGATGGCCGCTGTGTGTCAACACACAAGCAGAGCAGTCAATGTCTCTCTCTTTCTCTCATTTCTTACAGTGATCAGTGGGGAATGAATCATCACAAGAGATGCTGCCAAGTTTTAAATAGCAGAGAGAAAATGAGAGCGAGTGCCAACCAATGCTTACTCAACACCGAGCATCCCTCATTCTCTCGCTCTCCATCAATCTCTCTCAACTCGTGAACAGATGCTGAAAGAGTCAAATGACGTCACAGCCGGAAAACACTGAGGCACATTTTAAGTTTAACACAACATGAATTTGAACCCATTTAAACTCTCTTAATACACATTCTGGATCTCACTAAAAGAGAGTAAATAGGTTTGCATTCATAATCTTCCTTCAAAATAAACATCTTTTTGTTTAGCCCATTCGCTTTTAGCTGTTCGCTGGGGGTTTCAAGACAATAAGATGAGATTTTCTGTAAAGCTGCTTCGAAATAGCATGGATTGTGAAAAGTGCTTTACAATTAAAACATGTAATGCACTTACAGTAGAAGTCTGTGGATGTTGTAAATGTGAAAAATAATGTACATACCATGTAGATAACATTGCCACAAGAAGATTATACCTGTTGACCTAAAGTCAAAGAACTGCTAACACTAGCTGTGTAAAGGTAAATCTGATGCAGTCATTCCCTATGAATAATTTAATATATAATATATGAATTGTTATTTATATAGAATTTAAATATATTACTATTACAATAATATACATTAATACATTTATTTACTATAACAAAATATCTAAAATAACTTTAACATCAACAATAACAGCTTTTCATAAATGTATTATATTGCCATTTATTATAAAATACTACTACTAATTATTAGTATTATTACTGTTGTTATTATTATTATTATAACTACTACCTAGCATTTAAATCCACATCAAATTACAATAAATGTATTTTATGTTATTATATGACTCAAAAACAGTGATAAACAGCCATATTTAACTATTTTCATATGTAATAATTTAATACAAACTAGAGTATTATAATATAATAATATATTAAATATGGAAGCCCATTTCCACCACAAGATAAAAATGTAATTATGGAAGCCTGTTTCCATCACGGGATTAAAAAATAAAAAAGGTAATTATGACTTTTTATCTCACAATTCGGACTTAAATTTGGAAATAAAGTCAGAATTGAGAGATATAAACTCAGAATTCTGATTTTTTTTTTCTTGCAATTCTGAGTTTACATATCGCAATTCTACATTTATATCACACAATTTCAATTTTTCAGAAAAATTCTAATTGAGAGAAATAAACAGAGTTGCAAGTCTGAATTGTGAGATAAAAAGTTGCAAAACTAAAAACATCTAAAAACAATATCCTATTTAACATTAATATAAGTTTCAGATTTCTGCTTTGAATCATCTTGAATGCTTCGCTCCACAGACTTCCATTATAAGTGAATTAATGCACATGTTTTAAGCTGTGAGTTTAAGCTGTATTGAACCCCAAACAATCCTTTAAGGCACTGGATTTGTGAAAGATAAAATGTCATGAAGACTGTAGCTTTCTTTGATTTGGCATTTGAATGTTTTCTTTCCTCCGGAGTTCCTCGTCTCACTACATCCGCTCACACCACAGAAGAGATAAAAGCTTTTTTAAGAAAGGTTGTTTTCATTTAATGGTCTTCCTGTATTATTTGTGTGTTAAGTGTGTCTAAAAGCGATGGCGAAGTGGGCATGTGTTAATGGTGTCTGAGTTTAGTAATTAAACTGTTGCTTTTATAACATCCTGTTGAATTTACTTGGTCAAACACACACGCTGTACATTTATCCACACATAAGAGTGTGTGGGTGTGAATTAAAGACACAGGCATTAGTCACAGGCCCCTTTACGTGTTTGGAAAGTATCGTCCCCACATCTTTAAGAAGAGAAATAAAAAGAAATAACCCAGGCAGTCCAATGAGTATTCATCAGATCTGTGGTGTGGAACAGACCTCTCCTCTGCCTACATTATTCAGTGCAGACGATTGGCCATTTGTCTAGACCCACTGCCCAGAAACGTCTAGAACAAGGCTGCCCAAACTCGGTCATGGAGGGCCGGTGTCCTGCAGAGTTTAGCTCCAACTTGCCTCAACACACCTGCCTTTAAGTTTCTAGTATGCCTAGTAAGAGCTTGATTAGCTGGTTCAGGTGTGTTTAATTGGGGTTGGAGCTAAATTCTTCAGGACACCGGCCCTCCAGGACTGAGTTTGGACACCCCTGGTCTAGAAGATTTTCATCTCAGGAACAATTTCATCTCCTCAGAGGTAGCGAGCTGAAGAACTGCACCTCGCTCGAGTAGATCCTTCAAGAGGCTCTGAACATTAGTGTGTCTGAGTGTGTACATGTGTAAATGCTTCCCGCTCCTATCAAAACTGTCCTGTATGTATATAGTGTTATAGAAGGAATTTATAACGCCTTATAAAAGACATTGAATTTCATTAAATGTTTTCATAAATAATAAGCACATTAACAAAACTTTACAATATTTACCCATTCACAGTCACTTAAATACAGTGGGGAAAGAAAGTATTTAGTCAGCCACCAATTGTGCAA